TTTCTGTGCGTCATGAAACTTATTATTTTCACACTTGACCTGCCCAAGAGGAAGAGAAGAGAAAAATACACTCATGACAGGATAGGATGTAATGCGTTTAGCTATTTAAAAATAAAAGATGATGGTTTTCTGCATTTTTAATTACCATTTGATTTCTCTTTACTTCATTTCCTAAAATAATTTGTTGCAATTATCTAACCTTTTGTGGATACTTCTAGATTAAAAAATAATTACACAGCAATACACTGTAATTTTGAGGAATGGAGGAAGCACGAAGTAGAATAATGTGTTTCCCATCCTTCTAAAGGAATTTCGTGATGCAAAAAAACCCCAGAAAAACAATTATTCATCTACATATGTACCTATTATATTTAATTACATTTGTTTCTACACCTCTTTTCATAAGGAATCACACTATCTTTTTTGGACTTCAAATTATATTTAAGCTGTTCCGTCTTTATACACACGTGCAGCACACACACATGAGAATCAAAGATGCAGATAAACCTAGAAATTCCAAGGCATATCTACTATCTTTTATTAATTTTTCCATCCATGCCCTGATCAGTGCCTGACATGGTGCCTTTCCTACCCAAAATTCTCAATTAATGTGTGTTGAATTAATGACACTTACATAACACTTTACGTAACAACTTAAATGTGGCAGAGAGAGAAAATGATTATGAGGTTCATTTCAATAATTTCTACAGTACTTGTACATGAAATATCATAAGACAATTAAACTAATGCAATGATTCATCCAGCAGTAGGTTTTTCCAACACTCATAGGAATATTGCTTCTTAATTTCCCCTAAAGTATCTGGGGAAAATGTTGACAAAAACATCTAGCTTTTTATTGTTAGCTGTGACATTCTTTCTGTATCAGTGGCTTTATCTGCCTGGAAGCCATTACCTTGAAGTGTATTAAAATGTTTATTTTAAAGCTCTTGAAAGATCCAGAAGCTTAGGGCTCCTTTTGTGTACAAATAATGACTGAGACCCTACGGTAACCCATTGAAATAGCTTGTCATTTTTCTAAGAAGTTTTGAAGAAACACGTCTGTCAAAAGCAAAATAAACAATCAGGAAAAAAAAATGTCACTAAGAATACAATTTTCTTCTTTTCCAATAAACTTTAGTTGCTTTTTCTCTTCTAGGATTTCTGTATCTTTTATCTTTGTGTATTTTTGTGCATCTGTATATAACTGTATGCGTCTATTTCATATGCAGGGTGTTATCTCAATTAATTTGTAGGTGCTTTGAGGATTGACAAAAAAGTACCTGATGCTGCTTTTGGGAGAGTTTTTAAAAAATTTTTGGGGGTGGGGCAGGTAATTAGATTTACTTGTTTACTTTGGAGTAGGTAGAGGGGATGGAACCTGGGACCTCATGCATGCTAGGCATGCACTCCACCACTTAGCTGCACTCTCCCCTCCATAAGGCTGATTTGAATCTCTTTGTGTAATCGCACTCTATATAGGAAAACCGAGAGCTGATGAATGTAATTTAACATTTCCACTACTTCGTTCTTGGACTTCAGCCTGAATTCTGTAGAATGGGGTAAATAAGGAGTGAAGGCTGACTTGAGGTGTGATCAATAGATACTGTCTTGGGAGCCTCTTAACATGAGTGCAATCTTGTTACTTTTTATGTACTATTTATAAAATTCTTCTTTTGGTTCCTGTTTTCAATCTAATCTATCAGTTTAATGGGAGGAGGGTGTAGCTCAAGTGGTAGAGTGCATGCTTAGCAAGCATGAGGTCCTGGGTTCAAACCTCAGCATCTCCACTGAAAAACCAAATAAATAAATAAAGCTAGTTACCACCCCCACCGAAAAAAAATTTGAAAAGGAAAAAAGAAATCATGGAGTTGAGAATTTATTGGGCAGTTTTCATATGAAAAGACAGGTTTATGTGTGCTTTCCCATATCTGGACTTAGTTCCTTACCACTATTCTTTCTGTCCTTTGCCATTTTCCTTCCACAATCTTTCTCTGAGTGCCTATAGATTTAGAGAGGTCCCCAATATCTTAAAACTAAATTTCCTGTGACCCTGTTCCTGCCTCTTCCTACCTTCACATCCATGGTTATCTTATTTTTTTCCTTCCCTCCACTGATAACTTTTAGTGGCTTGAAACTCCGCCTGTTTCTTATTTCTTTGCCTTTGACGTCCACATCCAATCTGATTCCCAAATCATACTGATTTTCAGTCTCATTGGCTGTTGAACTGGTCTCCTTTCCTTTTTCACTGCCTCACCCTTGTCAAACTTTTCACACCCCAGCTCTTCCGAGAATTTATCCAAATGAAATCGTCTGTTAGACTAGGCATTATTTCACCATCAGTAGAGACAGGTCTGTGTTTTTCAATGTAGCCATCAGGGCTCTTCACAATCTGAGCTTCAGTATAATGATAGTGGCCACTTACTGTGGTCTTAGCACTCGACATGCCATGATACGGGTTTTACAGATACTATTTCCAGTTCGTAATTCTCACAACAGTCCTAGGCAGTAAATAACATTGCTCTCACCCTATAGGGGAGGAAACCTCTCTAAACTTTATTCCTAAACTTACCTTCCAACACATCCCGCCATGCCCATGGCCACATGTGACAACGGATGTGTATGGTCCCAGAATTCCCTTTTACCTTCTCACGTCTAGCCTTGAACTCTGTTCTTTCAGCGTCTAGTTATACATCAACTTCCCTCTCCTGCCGAGCCTGTTCCATCCATCAGGACCCAATTCAAATTCCAGCCGCTCTGTGAAGTTCAGGACTCCCCAGTGATCTCAGCAGTTCGTCAGTTCTTCCTCTTACCTGGTTCAGCACGGAGGGCCTTTCCACTGAAAATTCCTGGCTTGTACTATTATCTTCCCTTTCCTGGGCCCGCTTCCTCTCGCCTCACCTAACTTGTAGGCTCCTTAAGGTATCAGGTCAATTTTACATATTCTCTCATCGCGTGAAGGATGGAAAGCCCTGAGCATTAACGCCTTTAATGGATTCTTCCTCTTACTCATATTTTCCTCTCTTTTATTTGCTTTGAATAATTAACATTTTAGTAGATATCCTTCCTGGCGATTTCACTTGATTTATGCATGAATGCATATCTTAGTAAAATTCAACTTCCCACGGGCCCATTTTAATTTGTTTAGTTTACATATTCTGGCTTAAAAAATACGATAAGTGTGTATTTACAGAAGCTGTTTCAGAATGCTCATAAATATTGCTCTTTTAATCCAGCATTATTTCTGAACACCAGAAAGTGAGGATCCACACAGAGAACACAAATTGAATCAGCCAGAGGACTGCAGGCCAAAAACGAAGACCAGAGCTGCAAAAACGTTAAAAGTTGAGACATGGAACTTAGTAAAAACAAGAAGAAAAGTGAAGTGTGTAAAACCAGAGAAGTCTCCACATGCTGCTGAAAAAAGGAAACTACAGATCACAGACACCACGGTCTGGAAGTTTAGCTATGCGCTGCGCCGGGAATTACTTCTACTTCCTACCTTTGACCTTTGCTCTGTTTCAGTGTGAAGCATATGTAAATTTCATTCTCCAAAGGCTACTCATCAGGCAGGGGCTAACTCAAATCTCAAAGGTTAACATTTGCCCCAAGTGTTTTATTCGGGGCCAAATAGCTATAAAAGTCACTTAAAAAATCAGTTCCAGGGATAAGGGTATATAGCTCAAGTGGTACAGCGCATGCTCAACACCCAGGAGGTCCCGGGTTCAATTCCCAGGGACCTCCTCCAAGCAGAACTCATTGAGAAAATCTTGTCACCCGCCTCCTCACAAAACAATGCAAGCAAAAGTCAATTCCAGCTTTGGGTAATAGAGACATCAAGCCAGAAGTTTAACATATGCTTCTTCCTTCTTCCCCGTACGTGTTTCCTTCTTCCCCGTACGAGGTTGCATTTTTAACGTTTGCTGCAAATGGCTGTATCTTGGAAGACCCCGTGATTATACAATTACTAGAAACAGTTAAAACAGAGTTACTGCGATGCAGACAAGAAAATGTAAAATGAGTTTTATTAATTGCTGCAGTTACTTTGTATTAAAACCAATTCCATACCATTGCTCCATTGCACCCCGCCTGGAGTGACCTGCTTTTCGCGCCGGCACTCCTATTTCAAATAGCGCCTTTTCACCGCAAGCCACTAGCCAGGGCAATCGAAAGTCGGTCCCACATCTTTGATGATGTTTAAAATTCTTTCTTATAAACAGGTAAATTCACAAGCACTTTCTTCCCGCCCTTCCGCCTCCCGCTGTCTTCCAATCCTGGACACACTCGGACGGGGGGCTAAGAAGCCGCACTGCCGGCAGCGAGGGGAATTACCGCCCGGGAGCCGAGTCCGCCCCCTCCCTGGGGGTGGCCCCACCCTGGCTCTCACCCCGCCGCCCCCCGCCTCCCCCGAGCACATTCCAGAGCTGCGGATGCGCGGGGGATGGGAGCCGGACGCCGCTCCTCCGAGCTCACCCCCGGCCCAGGTGAGCGCGGCCGTCCTCCGGCTCTGCTCGCCCGGCCGGGATGTCGGGACTTGCAACTGCCGGGGCGCCCCGAGGGCGGACAGGAAAGAAAGGCTTTCTCCTTGGCTGGTGGAGGGTTGGGTGTCTGAGTTCAGACAGGTTCCGGGGCGCTGGCTGGCTGCGCGGGCTTTGGAGCGACACGACTCCGGACCTGTTGCGGCCGGTCCCCACCCCGCCCTCGCTGGGCTCGGCACCTGGGCCCGGGAGGAGGCGCGGCCCGGGCGGGACCGAGCTGCCCTCCGCCGCCCGCCGCGCGCAGGTGACTCCCCACCTCCCTCGCCCTCCGCTTCCTGGGCGGCGAACCGTCGGCGCGGGCGCGGCTGCGCGCGGCTCGGGGCGCTCCCCGCGGTAAGTGGGGGGCCCGGCTCCCCTCCCCTCCGGGCAGGCGGGGGGCGCGGGCCGCGACCCCCCCGGGGGCGGCGGGGAGGGGGCGGCGCGGACCTCCCGCGGTCCTCCTGCGCATGGCAGGGTTCGGTTCCTCTTTCTCATCTGCTTCTCTTCCCTCAGCGGGTAGTTGAGAGTGAGCTGGAAAGTTTGGAAAGTTCCGTCTCGGGCGGGCTGGGTTCGCGTCCCCGAGGGACCGGCGCCGCCCGCGGTGGACGTTTGATCAGCTTCCTTTCTGCTTGCGGGTCGGCGGTGGGGAGGGTCTGGGGGGGCTTCCCGGGAGGAAGTGCGGCTGGACGGGGAGGGGAGCGCGGGGAAAAGGCGGGAGCCGCGGGTGCACCCGGCGTTTAGATCCTTCAGATCCCGCGTGGGGGAGGGAACTCTAAAAGGAAAATAAACGCCGACCTGAACGCACTCTCCTGTTGGTATCCGATCCCGCATCTGCCCCCAGATTAGTGCTTTTCCAGCTTCAATCCCCCTGTGCCTGAGTCTGTGACCTTGGTGAGGTCGCCAAGTCACTCTGGTTCCTGTCAGACTTATAGAACCACTGCTCCGGATTGCGGAGGCTTTGAAAGGAGAGGAGATGGCTCCTGGGAAGTCACATGGAGACCTTAGCCCATTCTCTGTCGTGTTGGGAGAACTGTTACCTGCCTAAGTGGGAAAGCAGACACTGCCTGTGTCACTTGTTGGAATCACGGGTGTAAAGAGACAGTGATGCTTTATAGGGAGGAGGCTGGAGGTGGTGGTGGGACCGCGGGACCGCGCGTTGGCTGTGCACGGAGGCATGAGCTTTTAAATCACAAATGTTAGCCACTATCTATAAAAATGAGCCAAAAAGAAGTTTCTATGTTCAAGGAACTGTGTTCAGTATCTTGTAATAACCTTTAATGAAATAGAACGTGAAAACGAATATATGTATGTCTATGCATGACTGGGACATTGTGTTGTACACCGGAGATTGACACATTGTCACTGACGGTGCTTCAGTTAAAAAAAAATAAATAAATAAAGTACATTACAGCATCTCAGGCCCAGTGGAGATAAGAGCACAGGAGGCCAGAACTTTAAGAAAGAGCCGCGCTGGTGGTGAGCAGTCAAGGCGAGACGTTGGTGTCCAACAGGCTTCTTTCCAGAACCCCCCTTTTGTTAGGCAGTCTTTTTTGGAGGTAATTAGGTTTATTCATTTTTAGAGGCGGAACTGGGGATTGAACCCAGGACCTCACGCATGCTAAGCATGCGCTCTACCACTTGAGCTACACCCTCCCCCATCTCCAGAATCCCCCTTGATAGACATTCTGCCAGGTTCCTGGCAGGCACCTCCCCTCTTTACCTTTCTCACCCCTTGACACATGCGAGGGCCCTGGGGAAATCCATGATGGAGGCTGAGTCAGTGCTGACAAGAATTAGGAAAGGGAACTGCGATGAATGGGACTTAGAAGAGAAAACTGGTCTTTCTTGGTTTTTCCAAAATAACCAAAGAGTGAGATGGTTGGGGGTGGGGAGGGTCTTCGTACTGCTTGATTTCTCACTTTCTTCTTACACTTTCTTGGAATGATAGAGGCTCCCACACCTTCCAGTTTTAAATTCCACCCCTTGCTTCTGGGCTGACAGTACACGTGGTGTCCACACCCGGGAAAGGTGCTGGCTGTACCGGCAGAGTCTGCCCTCGAGGGTGGGTGGATCCTGGCACATTCTAGGTCCCAGATGCTTCTGAGTTGATTGTGGGAAGCACCACCAGTTGAACAACTGCTGAAAGGGATCACGGAGGGTGATGGAGGCAAACCACACCTCTGATGCTGACTCCGTGATGTCTTCCCTGATTACTCTCTGCAGCGCATTACTTTAACTGTAACTGATGGAACTCTTTGGGACGGGGTAATTCATTAATCATTCTTTCCCCTTAGAGTCTGTGGTGGAGGTTTTCTTGATTGTGACTTACCCAGGCTCCCTGTGTCACGTTCAATTCCATTGTACAGCTGTGAGTTTCCAAGACATAATGAACATCCTTCAGGTTTGGAGAATCATGTGTTGAAAATGTGATCCCAGTAATCAGGCCTCTTCTAGAATGTAAATCTGGTTGGAGGAGCCCTTTGGAAAAGGCTCCACTTAGCTGCACTTAACTAATTATTTGTAAGATTACGAGTTGTCCCTGCTCAGCTAGTTAGGTAAGTTTGCATGTCTCTCCCCCTGGAACTTGCCGAATAGGGGCGTTGCAGGCATGTTTCACAACTTCGCCGAGTCTGTTAAACACAACGTGTAAACTGTACTTTTGTTCGCTGAATGGTTTCTGATTTGGAAGTGGAATGCATTTTAGCACTTTGTGGGTGAATTTGTCATTTGAAAATCAGAATACGTTCCCCCACTCCATGCCCACCTTGGGAACAGAATTCTCAGTGATACCTTTTAAGGATCCCATGGGTTAAATTTGATACAAGGAGGGTCCAAGCTCCATCAATCATTAAATCCACCAACATTTCACTGAGAGAATGTGAGGGAGCCTTCAGGCGGCCCTTCCTTCCCCTGGGGTGAGCCGGTGGCCTTTGGCACTGTTTCGAGGTACCCATCCCAGCCCACAAGAGTAGAGTAGGGCTCCCATGGGGACTGGCACAGCCAGTGGTGGGAGACTGGGTGCTGTGGGCTCCTGACATGGGAGATGGGGGAAAGCTCCAGTTGAAGGGGTGTATGTGGAGGTGAACTTGAGCTAGAGCAAGTTTGCTCCAGGGAAGGAAGGTTTATTAAGGAGTCAGGAGGTTTGCATTGACAGGAGGTAGGCGCAGAGGATCAGGGAGGCCAAAGATGTTTTCAGCAGCTATGATGTGAGGAAGATGGGCAGGTTGGGAGAAATGATGGAATAAGGAATATTCAACCCACTGGGCGCATGTCTGGTAGGAAGTACTTCAACACATGATCATGACTGATGTGAGGAACCTTTTCCTCTGGGGACATCTAATGACTACCCAGTGTGTGTTTCGTCTTATTTTCACGCTGTCCTTAGGAGTGAGGCCAGATGTCCCCTAGAGGCTCATGCCGTTTATCTTTTGAGCTATGTGTCAGACAGTTTGTAGATTGCACCCATCCTTGGGGAAGGTCAGGTCGTACTGGCGTAGGGTCCAGTGTAACCCCCATGTTACTGGCCTATTTGAAGGAGTTTCTACAAAAGCTGTGTAGTCATGATGTTTAAAGGTGCTAACTTTGTCTGGTGCCCTCGCCACTCATTAAACGTACTCGTGTTGACTGTTACACACCCAGCAATGCGTTCTACTCTGGGAATATGAGGGTAGCAAGGTTTTGTTCTCGGATCTCCAGATGCTCACAGTCAGGGACCTGATAATAATTATAAACACAAACAGATATTAATGGCTCCAATCCCTTTACTTAGTATTTCCTTCCTGCTCTCTGAAGGTCCCAGCAGGGATTGTATATGTTCATTAAGCACTTTGTGAAATCGCACCCTAGCGGACCTGAGTCATGGGCGATTTCGGACAAAGTATTTCAATTCTCTTGGCTTCTCAGGTCTTCCACTGGCGCTGGGAAGGGTCTGGGGCATGATCACCCCAGTACACCTCGTTCTGCTCTCAAGTTCTGTGTGATCGCTTCTTATTGACGGTAACTCAGGTGTCCCTCAGGTATCACAGGAATCTCGTTATTTCCACTTCCATTGTCAGATTTTCATTTCAAAGGCTTTTAGTTCTCTGTTTATTAGCAGGTGGCTTCTCCGATTGTATAAGCATGACTCACTTGGGGAAGAAAAAGCAGTTTTCAAAGCACTAGAAAGAGGCTTCTTCCACCTCCTTGGCTGTAACAGAGTCAGTCGCCGTGGGACGTCTGTCTGGGCTGTCATTTACACACACGCACAAGCAGTGACGGCTTTACTTCTAGACAGCACGTTGCTCCAAATATACCCACTCCCATCTGACTCATGCAACAGCTGTTTCCTGATGTTTTTTGAAAAATGTATTTTTTTTCAAATAAAGGTAACTTCTGAATTATTTCTTGGAAAAAAATGAAATAAAGCTAAGGTGTTTTCAGCGTAAGGAACTGTTGACAGTGTTCCCTGATAATTTCGGGTCTTTTTTTTTTTTTTTTGCCGTCTCTACCCTTCCTTTGCTTTCTAATCTCTTACGGTCCCTTGAACCTTTTTGTCGAATCTTAGCATTTCTGGCTTCTTTTTGTCCCTTCTTGTTCCTTCTCCTCCCTTTCTTTCTTTTCCTCAGTTTTCTCTTCAGGTCTTTACTCCTCCTTCTCATCCTTTCTTTTCTCTTCCTACCTCACCTTTCTTTTCTCTGCCCTTCCCTCCCATTCCCTGCTTCTGTTTGCTTGTCTGTTTCTCCATCTTTTCACTTACTTATCTGTTTATCTTTCTTCATTTCTATCTGTCATCTCACCCTCTCAGTCTGGGTCTCTATCTTGGTACAGTATAAATTTCTAAAAATCTGTAAAATCCAATTATATAAAAAATTAAACATATTACAAGAGGAATTTCATTCTCTAGTAGCCAAAATGTATTATCAGTAAAATGACCGGCTACCCTTTAATGCTACATACAAAATTTAACAATACGTTTCTAGCATTTTGTGCATTTGAAAAAATGCGTTCTTTGCCTTCCCAGTGGGACACGGGCACAATGGTCATGTGATTAAAACTAAAGGTTTGCCTTCTTTGGCATATCCTATAATTTTCATCTTTTCTTTGGTTATATTCCATTTATTAGATAAGCATTTTATCACTACCGTGGAGACTTTCATGTATCTATTTTTCCAAAAACTTGTAAGTTCAAGTTGGAATAAAATATTCAAATAAAATCACAAATAAGCCAGTAAAAAGAGGGAAATGATGTCACCGAGACTATGTATTGACATGCTGACAGACTTCCTGGGCAGTGAGTTGACATATTTATTAATTGATGGAGTAAAGACTGGATTGAGGAGATGGTGAAGTAGAGAGACTCCCAGCTCGCCCTCTCC